AGGAGGTATTAAAGGGAGAAACTTGTAGTGTCTAAATTTATTTACCAAATCTTATATTTTAAATAATATATTAAAATTGGATACATTGAATGTTTGATCGAGTTATTGAAGCCTCTATTCAACCATTACACTGATTTAAGATATAAAACTTCATAAGCATAGCATTGCTACTGGCCCGACCCAATGAAACCAACAAAAACCGTTTTCCAGAGTTCCCTTAAACGGCAAGACATGACCGTTATCGTTGTAGCACCTTTTCGTTCAACTTGGAGTCCAAGTAACGAACTCTAGTACCTTCGAAATCCTTAATCCAAGTTCTTTTAGGATTTCCGTATAGCCATTCTATATATAAGTGTTACTGAAACCCTAATTCCTCAGATATTCACAATCAAAAACCAAATTGCCAGTAAAACGGAGAGAGAAAGGGTTTCTTGTGAAGAAAACATCCAACATGTCTAAGCGAAAGCATGAAGAACTTGAGCAGCCGGGTCTATATGGCCATGGAAGGAAGTGGTTCAGAGGTCCGATGATCGGAAAAGGAAGTTCTGGGTCAGTTTATTTGGCCACTTCGAAGGAACCAAAGTCGAGACTCACCCACTTTCCTGCACAGATGGCCGTTAAGTCGGCCGAGATTTCCGACTCCTGTACACTTCAGAAGGAGAGAATGGTCCTTTCAAATCTCCAAGGATGTCCATATGTCCGCTGCTGCTACGGTGAAGAGATTACTTACGGCGAGAGAGGTGAGATGGTTTATAACCTCTTGTTGGAGTACGGTTCCGCCGGAACCCTAGCCGATATGATTAAGAAAACAGGCAGGACAGGATTGCCTGAATCCGACGTCCAGCGCTACACAAGGTATATTGTTCTGGGTCTCCAATCTATTCATAGATATGGCTATGTTCTTAGAGATTTAAAGCCAGAAAATATCATACTTTTTCCTATTACTTCTGCTTCGAATAGCACTAAGTATGTGGTGAAGATTGGTGATTATGGATCGGCAAAGAAGGTTATGAGTATGAAAAAGAGGAGATTAAACCCATACCTGAGAGGAAATATCAAGTATTTGTCACCAGAGGTCGTTTTTGATGGAAAACAAGTGCCTCCAGGTGATATTTGGGCTCTGGGTTGTTTGGTGGTTGAGATGCTAACTGGGAAGTCTTTATGGGACGGGAAAAAAGATAAAGAGATTGAGGATATTCTCTATGAAATAGGTGAGGGACATGGGCTGATCATGTTTGAGGGTAAGTTATCTAGAAAAGCAAAGGATTTTTTGAAGGGTTGTTTGGCAATGAAAATCAGAAACAGATTGAGTGCAGAGATGCTACTGGATCATCCATTTTTACAAGGATTGGATGATTAAGATGGAGAGGTTGATGAAATAGAAAAAGTTTCAGATGAAGAAGGGGTTGACTCATCATTGATACTATTATTTTCTGAATGTGATGACAGTGAGAGTGATTGTTCATCAGATGATTCAAGTTTCATATCTGAAGAAGATTGGATTACGACAGATATCACTGAATCCAACAAATTAACTCAGATATCTCCTCTAAGTGGAATGCAACAGAAGATTATACTTCCAGCAGGAGTTTAGCCAAGATGGTTTCTGAAATCTCACTGAGTTATTTGCAAATTTTTCTTTGAATTCTTATATCATAATTGTATATAGTTCCAGGTGATAATAGATATAGTAAATTCTCTGGTTAGATATATTAAGTTTGTATGTCTGAGAGTTGAATGATTGACCATAATTGAAAAGTTAGTTAGTTAGTTATTAGTTTGTTTCTGGTTTTTTTATTTAGTTGCTTGGCATCTAGCAATCTCTTTTTGATCTCGTCTCAATGGATAGAAGCAAGATGATACAATTAGATATACTTAGACTCTTCTTCATACTTAAACATGAGCAATGTCATTAGGACTTAATTTATTAGTCTAACTAATGGATTAACCATGAACCCCATCAAATAATAAAACTTGATAAATAGAATAGATTTTTAGGTCTAATTGTCATTATTCCTTAAACATTTATCAACAGAGGTCAAAAACTATATGCATGGTGTACCAAGAAAGAGAAAACAAATAAGGTACTTATACTATAATTTTTTACAAACCATTGTCCCATGGATAACAATAATTATCTTGAAAGTGTTGTATAATAAACTTTGTCATCAGTAATATCGATTGACAGTCTTCAGTTTTATAATTTACTTAAAAACAATTTTTTAAACATTATCTTTAAAATATTAAAATAACTAAGTCCTTATGCCAAAATTCAAAAAGTAAGCATAGAAATACTTTCTTTTTTTTTCCTTCTCAGCAACATAGTAAGAAAAGTTGCATAAACAGGGAGACGGTCAAATGCAGTAAACTAGAGACCAATAGCACGCCAATGGCGACAGTTTCATACTCAAATCAAGACCACAGAACAAAAAAAAGTTATAAATGTGATAAGAAAAATTGCAGAAAAGCCTATCATAAAAAGTACTGACACATACAATTACAACCTAATCGGAGCAAACCCAAAATTAGTTTAAGTGGTAACAGTAACGAAATATAAATTCAGACATCTTGAGTTTGAATTTTGCTAACTCTATAAATAATTTATTCCTCATGAATACCCTAGTGCTAACGGAGATGATCTGCTTTTAACAAGACTAGAGAAGAGATTAGTTAAGGTATGCGTAAGTTGATCCAAATAACTTTGACTATTGAACAAAAAAAATAAAACCTAATCGTAGCTCATGTTTTCAAAAAACAAAATACAATGAAAACAAGAAACTAACAAGTAATAGATTATGAAAGCAATAAATTGAGGATGGGTGAGGATCCCCTCGATTATCTATTAACTAGCTGATCTGGGCTTCCTCCTTAATATGTACAGATAACTTGAATAAAAATATATTCATCGTAGGTATCCTAGTTTCTCTGGGTCAAGTTTTTCCTCAAGTTATTCTTAAGATTAATTCTTGGCGTATCCAGGATGAGCAGATTATATGTTGTGAATAAAATGATTGGTCGTATGCTCTAAAAAGACGAAAAGGTTACTTAATTGTGAGTTGAACGTTATGATTTTGAGTGACAATTTAGCCTCTCCACAATCCTATCTAATGTGGATGGCTGGGAAAGTAAGATGCATAAAGATGACTTGAAAGAACATTTCTCTAACAACATTTTGTATTTTAACTATTCAAAAGTACATTTTTTTTATTTTAACTATTCACTTTTTTAATACATATTCCAACAGATTTTCTATATTTTAACTATTTCTTTTAAATATTATTTCTTATATCTTTATCTTTGTTGGGACTATTATAGGGAAAAAGAGAAAAAAGGAAGGAAAAACAAAGATTGAACAAGAAAGGTAAGAAATGACAAGAGGATAAAGAATATGTTATAAATTATTTATACATAATACTACAGTGATGCTCTAAATATAGAGCATCACTGTAGCAAAAATATATTTTACCTACTCTAAACATTTCTGTTTGAGCATATTTTTTGTTTTTGAATAATGAAATTTTAACTATTTTAAAATTTTAGCCATTCTTTTTAGATACTCTTAAATCGATAATATTAATAAGAATTTATCGGCTTTTGTTTGAAAAGTTGTTGAGATTTGCAACTAGCTAGTGCACCAACATAAGTGGTTAGCCACTCGGGTAGACCCTAGGCTGAAATATGTGAGAAATTGAGCAACTTTTTTTTTTTTTTTCAGTAAGTTAAATTGGGCAACCTTATTTTATAATTCACACAATCTGCTCCCTCTTAGTTTTAAATTTCATTTATTTAAGATAAGTTTAATCATTGGTTATTAAATTTTATTGAGTCAAATTAGTTAACATTGTCGACTTTACTGGTATCAAATGATCAGATTTAAAGAATTTAATGGTAAATAAATTAATTTCACCAATAAAAATTAAGGACTTGATTATGGCACCATTTAAAAATAAGGGTAAAACATTTTATAACCAAACACAACCCTGCCCAGTTATATCAGAAGAGGTTTGAGCCCGATCCAACAAAACCCATTTTCCAAAGTACCCTTAAACGGCAAGAAATATGACCGTTATCTTTCTAACACAATTTCCTAAGGTCTGTTGGGTTAGAAAAAAAAATAATAGAAAGTAAAAATGATAAAAAACGAAGTGCAAAAAAAAAAAATAATAATAGAAAATATATTTTCATGTATGTACTTGATTAGAGTGAAAAAATTATGTGAAAATTTTAAAAAAATTTCATTTTATTATTTGAAAGAAAGTAAAGTTATAAGAAATTTTTTTCAATTGTCTAAATTATCCATAATTATATTAAATCGGTTTAAAAAAGAAAAAAAATATATAATTATAATTAAAAGTTAAAAAAATTTTAAAAAGTGACTCGAAACTTAATTCTAAGACAATTACGAATACAAAGGTCTTTGGGCTAAATTATAGATTAATCAAATTTATACCAAAATTTTTTAAAAATTAATAACCAATAAAACATTTTAAGAAAAATAAAGGTAAATATGAAAAGTTAGTTATATGTCCCATATTTCTTGCATCTAACTAACTGATAATTAATTTTTAAAATATTCTACGCGAACCCATGTCCGGTTAGAAGTATCATTTCCAAACAAAAACCTAATCTAACTACTTTTAGGATTGCTATCTAAACGAACCCCTATCCTGTTTGAAGTACAATTTCCAATCAAAACTCTAATACAAGTTCTTTCAGGATTTGTATCAAGCCATTCTATATATAACTATTGCTGAAACCCTAATGTTCACATATCACATTATCACTTCTCTACAACCAAACATAATCAATTTGCACGTAAAACAAAGACAGAAAAGAGATTCCTGTGAAGAAAACACCGAAGATGACTAAGAGAAAGCATGAAGAACTTGAGCAGGAGGGCCTGTATGGTCACAGAAGGAAATGATTCAGAGGTCCGATGATCGGAAAAGGAACTTTTGGGTCGGTTTATTTGGCCACTTCGAAGAAACCCAAGGTGAGACTCACCCACTCTCCGGCATAGATTGCCGTGAAGTCCGCAGAGATTTTCGACTCCGGTACACTTCAGAAGGAGAGAATGGTCCTTTACAATCTCCAAAGATGCCCATACATCCACCGGTGCAACAGTTTGGAGATTCCTTCTGGCGAGAGAGGTGAGATGGTTTATAACCTCTTGTTGGAGTCCGGTTCCGCCGGAACCCTAGCCTATATGATTAGGAAAGCAAGCAGCATTGCATTGCCTGAATTCGACGTCAGGCGGTACACAAGATATATTCTTCTTGGCCTTGAATCTATTCAAAGATATGTTGGAATTACTAAAATAAGAAAATTGCTCAGATACCACCTTGTTGCAGTCAAAAGGACCACAAACAGGGCCGTCCAACAAATTTGGAAGTTTGAGATAAGAATATGAAAGTGAGCTCTATTAATAAGTGATAATCTATTTATTTGTACTATTATAAAATGTCAACAAAAATGAAAAAATTTTGTTTGACTATAACTTTAATACAACTACTAATGTTTATACTACCATTTTTTCATTTAATTTATATATATATATGTGTGTGTGTGTGTGTGTGTGTGTGTGTGTATTATATAAATCTTTAAATGCCTTGATTATTCATATTCATACTTGAATAACAACTGTGTATATTTATTGACATAAAAAGTAGGTGCATCGATAGTAATAGAAAATGAAAGGTTTTCTTTTGGTACATTTATTCAAGTTTAATGCACTAGGGACCAAATATTCAATGTGCATTGAATATATCATATGCTAAAACTTGAAAATGGACATTTCATCTTTCCATATTCACATTATACACAAAATCATATACATTTAAACCCCACAGGTACCTATATTAAGTATTCAACTAACAAATATTAGTTGGAACTTCAATCATTTCATATTCTCACCTCTTTGTCTAATAGATTATCTTTTAAAAATTCTTATGGTCTAATATTTAGTAGACTTCTGTCCTCTCTCACCGTGCGCTGAAATGAAAAGGTTGCCTTAATAGGTACTGGTTTTCTTTTACTTGATTTGTTTTCTTCAAGAACCTGGTTACCTTTTGTTCTACTTATTATATTTTTTGATTTTTTATGTTTATTTAATTGAGTAACATCCTATTTTTCCAAGTGCTATGCTTGTCTCATGTTTTATTTTTTGTCTTTGCTAATGGTTTATGTTTTATTTAATCACTGAAGATTGCTAATATTTTGGGTTATAAGTCTATTTAATAATGTGACTTAGTGGAGAAAGATGTTAACAAAGACAAGAAATCAAATTTCACCCAGCATGAGTTGTTATATGCATTTGGATTTGTGTTTCTTCCTATCCGTATGGGCCATATCAATCTTTGACACAAACAAACTTCCAACTAAACTAGAACTTCCACCCAGTTAGGGTAACTTAATCAACCATGCTTTTTTACTTTGATTTTTTAACCATAGGATATATGATTCAAAAGTTTTTGAATTTGGAAACTTTAACATTTATACTAACACAATTTTCTAACGAATTTGAGCTAGATATCAAAGGACAAGAAAATTATATGTTGCTATTATTGGTCTAAATAAACTTATGTTACACCTTTCTTAACCCGAAAATTCTACCATGAGGTGAAAGAAAAACGATGACAAAACTTTTTAAACTCAAGAAGTTTAGTTGTTGGTTAGTTGCTGTATAGTGTTTGTCTATGAATATAAACCTTGTGTTTGTTATATTAGCTTGTAAATCACAATTGAAAAATAGTAGTTGTGCACCGATTATACTTGTCATTGCATTTACAAAACTTTAATTTTTTATTACAACTTTGTTCAGAATTTTTCAGCTTGTTATTTTTCTACAATTTGTTCTCAATGTAGAGAAATGCATTCAAACCATTGATTGGGAATATTGTTTTACCCTTCCTGTATTAATTTGTAGATATTGAACAAAGGAAGCCAAGAGACATAGATGTAGATATTAGATATTCAACTCCCACATTCTTATCTTGCTTCGATAGAGTCAAATATTAATATATCCATAACACAATTGTTCTATCAATTTATATGCGAAATTTATAGGATAACCATTGTTTGGTGTTTAGTTTAGATGACAAAAATCTACTTATGGTTGTTGTATGTTTAGATAGAATTAACATTTATATGTGATGATGGTTTTTGTTTGATAAATGAAAATTTGAATTATAAGACAATATTAATTTATTAATCTAAATTAACCACCTAGCATCTTTAAACATACAAGATAATATAAATTACAATAAAGCAATATGATTTAGGCCTAATCTTAAAATATATAGTGAATAATGCACATTTTATTTGTCTTGTGGATAATAACTTGCTATGAAGTAAAACACATCATTGGGTACTGTTCTCCATGTGAACAGTTCAAGGTCCTAACAATAAAGATTAGTTTTATTGACATTAAATTATGATTAAAAAAATGTGTCTATATGTTTTGATCATCTTCTCTCTGTTGGTTTATGGAGAAACAGTAAATTGTCTAAAATTGTTATTTTTAGATTAATATTTAGTAATATAAAATGTCAGATTGATACCAGAACAAGATTTGAAAATACTATCTTAATCATGACAAAAGAGACAATAAATTTTCATTTAAAACTTTTGATGAATACCTACAAGAACACAAAGAAAAAATTGAGGGTTTATCTATAGTACTAATAAAAGTATGTTAATATGAAAAATTTTTGATTATTTATTTATATAAAAAGTTATAAAGACCACTCTATCCTTTCATAATTAAATATCTAAATTATCTATTATCTCCATATATATTTAAATCTTTAAATTAACTCTAACATCTAAATTACGCATTATTATATTTTTAATAAAGTATTCAAAGAACTTTCAAAACTTTCATCAATCTAATATTACTCATCCCATGTGCAAATATAATATTATCTGCATATATGTTATTTTTTTAAAAAAGTTTAACCTTTTTATTTCTAAGATAAAAAATAATTATATATATATATAATTTTTTAAAATTAATTTATGCTATATCAATATAATTTTTTAGTTTACAATAAACTTTTTTATGTTGTATTAATATTTTATGTGAAAATAGTTTATAGTGTATTCTTCAGTAAAACTTACATTTTTTAAAATTTTGATATGTTTTAAAATATATATTATAGAGTGTTATATTAAATCTTATCTTAATTTACCTAACTAATTCTTAATTACAGTAAATTTTCAATATAATTAAGTACTATATTGACAATTACTTTTATTTTATTCAATGAATTATAAGTAAAATCCTAATCGAATGAATTTCCAAAAATTTAATTTTTCAAACATTACTAAAAAAATCACTTTCAATCACAAAATTTTAAAAACAAAAAATAGAACTTTAACTATTTTTTTTTATAATTAGAATAACGAATTTCAGAAATATACCAAGTTTTCATAATCCTATAATAGAATATGAGTAATGAAAAATTAAGTTTAATAAATTTGAGATAATATTTAATTCAAATACATATATACTAATATATTATATCAATTTTTATATACGAAAATTATTCACGTACAACGCACGTGGTGGATTGCTAATATGATTAAATAACACTTATATTGATAATCTTTATATTCAAAATGATTCATGTGTAACACACGTGTGTACCAACTAGTTATTAAAATATATTCATTTAAAAGTTATTTTTTTAGCCCAAAAAATTCTGACGCTTGAATCTTGATCGCTATCAATTAATTGATGGTTTGTTGAACTACAAGAAATTATAGAATAGAGAACTTTGGTGTTTTTACTTTGTTCAGATTCAAACTTCACACAGAGAGAGAGAGAGAGAGAGAGAGAGAGAGAGAGAGGCATGAGGGAATGGCGTTAAATAGAACTATGGTTTGTGAGAAAGTGAATCCTATAATTTGTGCATGAGAGGTAGAGTGATGTAGAGAGATTTGCTTAATTCCTTCATGGACGAGAGAGAGAGAGAGAGAGAGGGAGAGAGATTATCCTTCCTTGTTGTAGAATTCTAACAGTCTGCTACAACTGGCAAGTGGAGCAATTTTATAAGTAAGTTGTTGAGGTGTTAATGGACTTATCAATTAAATTTGGACCCTCTCAAACCAGCTCATCTAAAATATATATACCCATAACTAAAAGTCTTAACAGGGGACCCCAAAATTTTGCAAAAATTGGAGGCCCTAGGCATCCAATTAAGTGGTCTAGGCCTAGGGCCGGCCTTGACTAGAAATGAAATGGAAGGAAGTAAAGGAGGATATGAACACTCAAAGAAAAAATAATTTTTATATAAGTTGATTACAATCACACACTCAACTTGGATTCTTCAATTTATACTCAACTCTACTTGCATCTAATACTAGACTATATATCCTATTTATATAGATTATACATACAACTCATACCATTATATGTAGGTACCATTACACCCACTAACTCTTATAACCTCTATAATATTAAGACACCATTACTTAGGGAATTAACACTCACTAATACTCTTGTCTTCCACTGCTTGAATAGTTCTTGCCCATTACTACACACCAAATTAAAACACCTTAATAATATAATAAGACACTAAACAAGTTTATTTTCCAACCCCCCTCCCCCCACCCCTTAAACTTAGTTTATCTTCAAAATCATTTTCTTCTTTTACATACTCATTGTACCCAATACTCTTCATGTAAAAAGTCACTTTTGTGTTTGGATCCTACACACTCTATCATCTTCCAAACATGATTTAGAGAACTTGAATCTCTTACAAGTTTTCAAATCTCGGGGTGAATCGTATTCTTAAGAACTTCGAGTGCCTTCTCCTCTTTCTTTTCTCGGATTCATCTAGGCAAGTCATTCCTTGACTTTTCTTCAATCACACTCCATAAATCACATGCTTTGAGATACGAAGGTAGAATACTTTCATTCTCTTGTAATTAAAGAACATCATCTTTTCACACCAAAAATATATATTTGGGGAATCTTCCATGATAATCAATCACGACGATCTATCAAGACTTCAAAGATCGTAATAGCTCTAAAAGTGAGCTATCTAGATTTCCATGATCATAAACTTGGCTTTTATGGAGAGTTATCTAACTTTCAAGATCGAAAGTTGACTCTGAATGAGAGTTATCTTCCAGGATCGGTGTTGGCTCTGATATCAATTTGTTGGAATTAATACAACAAGAAAATTGCTCTGATAACA